AATAAGAATAGACACATTGGAGGTAGATGAGACTAATGAGACCTACTCTGCTTCATGAGTGTTGAATCCACCCCACCCGCCAGGCTTAATCAGTGTTTGGCCAGGAGGTAGAGAAAGACACACTTTCTCTCTCTCTCCCTGAAATAATTAAGTAGAGAAAAATTTGCATCCAAGAGGATAAAATGTTTCCCCCTCTCCCTGTAAGAGCTTAGGTAGAACCTGATCCTAGCTGTCTAATTTATTATTTCAGTTAGCTATTATCCTCTTGTTTTATTTCAGAAAAGGGCCATTTAGGTTAAGTAGAAAGTTTTACTAGTTACAAAATATACTCCCTGTGGATTATTTAAAAAATTAGAAAGAAATGTATAAAAAGAAAATAAATCATTCCTAATTCTGCCACTTGAATACTCCTGTTGATGTTTAGATATCCCCTTATTTTTTCAATCTTTTGTTTAATTATTATTCATTTAGTAAATATTTATTAAGTACCTACTACATCCTGGGAATTATTTTAGGTATTACAGATACCTCAGTTAAAACAGAAAAGATGTTCCTTGCTATTTTTGTTTAGTAATATTTGTATATAAAGCTATACATTTCTTTGAGCACTGCTTTAGGCAAGTCCCAGAATTTTTCTTATTTTTAAAAATTTTTTTTAAAATTTTTTTAAAGAGACAGAGTCTTGCTATGTTGTCCAGGCTGGTCTCAGACTCCTAGGCTTGAGCAATCCTCCAGTCTCAACCTGCCTCCCAGGCAATAGGGATTACAGGTGTGACCCACTAGACCAGGCATCCCACAGGTTTTGAAGTTAGATTTTCTTTGCCATTCTTTCAAAATATTTTCTACTTTCTCTGGTGATTTTTTTTCTTTGATCCATGCGTTAATCGGAAGTATGTCGTTTAAAATCCAAATTTTGGGGATTTTCCTAGACATCCTAAAAGTTTTGATTTCTAATTTCATTAAGGTTAGAGAATATATTCTTTATGATTTTCATTATTTTACATTTATTGAGGTATGTTTTATCTCCTAACATATGGTCTCTTCTGTTAAATATACTTGAAACTACTGACATTCTGGATCCGTGCTCCTCTGCTGTGGGAGGCTGCCTGTGCAGCACAGGGTGTTTGCTCAGGATCATCCTTGGCGTCCACCCACGAGATGCCAGTGGTAGCTTGCAAGATATGACAGTGAAAAACATTTCATTGCCAAATATCCCCCTGGGAGCAAACTTTCTCCTTTTGAGAACCACTGAGTTGAAAAGAATGTATCTTTGGCAGTTGCTAAAGTTAAAGATGTTGTATTCTTTAATTGTCAGCCTTTTTATCAGTTGCTGAGAAAGGGGTATTAAAATCTTTGCATGGGATTGCCGTATTTCGCCTTCTAAGCCAATTTTGCTTCATGAACTTTTTGACTTTTAAAAACAACTTTGTTGAGGTATAAGGTACATACTATAAAATTAAGCCATTTAGTGATTTTAGTAATTTGCTGAGTTGTGCAATTATCACCATATGCAGTTTTAGAACATTTCAGTCACACCAGTAAGGTCTCCTGTATCTGGGATTTAATTCGTGTTCCCAGTTCCAGGTCACTGCTAATCTTTTTTCTGTCTTTAGAGATAGATTGGCCTTTTTTTGATGTTCATATAAATGGAATCATACAACACGTGATCCTTTACGTCTGACTTGTTTTGCTTACATAACAGTTTTAAAGTTCATTTGTGGTGCAGCCTGTATCAGTAGTACATTCCTTTGTAGTGGTGAGTAGTGTTCCAGCTTCATGTGTTTTTGAGGCTCTGTTATATGGGTGAGGCTCCATAATTGATGGTTATGTTTATCTGATGAATCAACCCTCATATCAGTAGGAACTGACCTTATTTTTTTTTCCTCTTCATAACTCTGTCTTAAAATTTATTTTTCCTGATAGCCCTCTTCATACTTATGTTAACTCCTTAGTATGTCCTTTGTCTTTTTCTGTTTATGTCCAACATATCTGTGTCTTTGTATATCAAGTGTTGCTCTTCCTTCAACTGCTGCCTTTTACTTAGGTTTTTTTAGTCCATTTATGTTTACTGTAATTATTGGTATAGTTGGATTTGAGGCTGTCATTTTATTGTTTGTTTTCTATTTATTCTCTCTTTTGTTTTTCTGTTCTTCCTGTATTTTCCTTTTTGTATTATTTAAATACCAGATCTAAAAGGTCTCTAGATATCTGTTAATGCTTATTTCAGTCTTTTTTTTTATTTCTCTCATTGGATAATTTCCTCGATCTGTCTTCACATTCATTTGCTCTTTCCTGTCATTTTCTTGATCTTTCATCACATTCATTCACTCTTTTCCTCTGCCATGCCCAGTTTATTAGTGTATTCTATCTTTCAGTTGTAGAATTTCTGTTTTATTCTTTTTTATTATTTTTCTGCTGGGATTTTTCATTGTTGTTTTGTTCATATGCTTTCTTTTATTTTAGTAAAAATAATCATAAAGGCATCTTTGAAATCCTTACCTGCTATTTCCAGTACATGCCTCATCTCAGGGATGATCTAAATTGATTTTCTTGTATTTTAGTAATGTCTTAAATAAGTAGGTTTGGACCTTATCTGAGATACCGAGCATATTAAATTTCAGGGACGCTGGATTCTGTTATTTTCCTTCCATGAGTATTGAGTTTCAGCCAGCAGTTATCTTGGTGGACTCAAACTACAAATTCTGTTTCTTGGATGGCAGCTTAAATCTTGGGTCAGCCCTTTGCCTGTAGCTGAGTTGCTTTGAATGTACTCTGTGTGTATGTAGTTCAGAGGTCAGCCGGATGTGGGCCAAGTCCTCCTTTCCTTTCTGGTGGATAGTGGTTTCCCAGATTTAGTCTTCTGGCTCCCAGACAAGCAAGGCTGTATATTCCGCCCCCAGACCCTCAGGTAAAGGCTGTGAAACCAGGAACTCATTCTTATAGCTCTCCTCCTCCAAGTGTGGACGCCCCATCTGCCTGCGTGTGGTCACTCTCCAGTGCCCTCAGGTAGCTGCTTTTAGTTTGTGGTTGTCTGAGTTTACACTTTATGGAGCAGCGTTGGTGTATACTAGGATCTTTGTTATCACTGAAGCCCATCTTTTGAACTTTGATTTTAGTAAGAAGACAGATAAACAAATACAAATAGAAGGTATATAATGTGAAGTGGCTGTATCAGTTAACTTTTGGGTATGAACCACCACAAAACCCTGAACCCTAAACTATTGTTTATTATTATAACTCATGCAACCTAAGGGTTGTCTGGGCTTGGCTGAACTGTGTGTTTGTAGTTCAGCTGGCTCGGTCATGTGTCTGCAGGGTGGCTGGGGCTTTCACTGTAGATCAGCCTTGGCTGGGGCACCTTATTTAGGACGGCTGTTCTTCATGGGTCTCCCCTCTTCTTCCTGGGAACAGCAGGCTAGCCGGGGTTTATCCTTAGGGTGATACAGGAGAGCAATTTCACAAGTGCTTGTTCCAGCCTCTGCTTAACCTTGTAACCCACCTTCTAGCACCCCACTGGCCAGGGCAAGTGGCCGCCTGCTCTCAGAATCAATGATAGGGAAACATATCAGCTCTTAATGAGCGGATCTGTAGTCATGTAGCAGTGAAGCCAGTACAGACAGTGGTAGGGCCACCAATGCATTCCACCATAACAGAAATAAATGCCATTAAAAAACAAATAAAAGCAGAATGGTAGAGATTGGTAAGGGAGGGAATGTATGTGTCTAAATATTGAGATACCTTTTTTATACAAACTTGGGATGAGTTTAGGTATAGTTGTATAGCCTACTTTTTCATTTAATGGGATAAACCATTGCCAAATTTTTGACCATTTTAGCCCATTTAAAATTTTTTCTCCTCCCTGATATATTGAGTACTTCCTTTTTAAAGCACTTTGCATGTATTATTTGTTTCATTCTTACAGCCTTATAAGACAGGTACTCTTACCACCCCCACTTTCCAGATGAGGAGACTGAGATACAGAGGCTTCATAACTGGTCTGAAGTCATCCACTTTGTAAGTGGCAGGTGCCCCAATAGGTCAGGGCAATACCAATTCTTGTGTGTACTTCAAAAAGTGTAATAGAGCATACTCACATCTCTGAATAGTTCTTTGGATAATTTCTGGAATTTGGGGTCATAGTGTAGTTGTTAGACTGTGAAAGGAATGCTGTTTTTGATCTGCTGCCAGCTGACAGACCATGTCGGGGTTGTTGCTGAGCCAACCTGTCGCTCCTGCTGCAAGAGCAAGACAGTTCAACCCCAGGGTTGCTGGTGAGTCAGTGGAGGGTGGGCCCTCGCTGGGCCCTGACAAGCACCAGAGCCAGGCTTAGTGCACTGTGAGTTGCGGGAGGCCGAGGAGCAGCTGGCAGCAGGACGTGGCTCTGCTGAGAGCTTTCCCCAGGCTCCAGGCCAGCCCTGGGTCTGCTTGTACCACAGACAGCACAGGGCTTGCAAGTGATGACTCTGCCTGGCCCGAGGACAGTGTGGCTGTCCAGCCCTTCTCACCTCCGTCTCCCTGGCCCCGTGTGCAGCTTGGGTGAGCAGTCACAGGAGGGAGGGAGGGAGTAATTTCTGAGGGAAAAAGTCAAAACAGCTCAGCAAAGGGGTGGTCACCCGAGGCTCCAGTTTTCTGGGTCTCTAGCCCTTTTCCAACTCCTTGTTTATCATTCTGTCAGTCTGGGGCACAGTGGGTATTTGTACTTCCTGGTTTGAAACAACAGAGGAAATGTGTGGATGGGAAGAGAAATCTGGTTGAGTTTTAATTATTGGAAGTTCTGAATCAAAACTGGGATAGGAAAGAGGTTAAATTGAGAATTTGGGATTTTCTCTAGATTAGGTTGTTTTTAGGTCACTCTGGAGACCAGAGAGTATATCTCGCCACACTTAGGATTTTTACTGCAGTTTGTGATTATAAATGTTCAAAATTGTATCTTCTGTGTCTATGGTGTATTTTGTGTCTAATGTATTTTTCTTTCCTTTTTTTTTTTTTTTTTGCTTCAGGTTAGTAGCAAAGATGAAGATTTTCTTGACCTTTCTGTTGATGTGGAACAGAATACATCCATCACCCACTGTCTGAGGTAACCTCGTGAACTCTGTCTGATGTGGTTGAGCTTTTGAAGAGGCCAGTCAATAAACGGGGGAGATCCTGTGCTTCTTCAGGAGAGAATCTTCCTTTTCTCTGAAGCCAATATGATGCTATTATTTTCTATTTCTCCTTTCCCAGGAGAGATTAAAAATAAGTATATGTGGTGTGGAGAAGAGTCCCACTGAAAAGAAAGAGTATGAAATGGAAGTCATTAAGTTACAGATACATTTGTGCTCTTTAGTACAGATGGGCGCTTTGGCCTTCGGCCGCCTTTGTCCCTCTGTCTCAAACACACTTACACGATTAAATTAACAGCTGCAACAGATCCGACCACTATGCTGTCTTTTTCTAAGATAATCTATTTTAAAAATTTTGTGCTTAGGCTGAGAACCAATGGACGAATTGCCTTTTCCTCCACTTTTTAGTGTTCTCCTGGAGCCCGTTCACGGACAGAAGTTCCTCCTCACTAGGGTTGAGAGAAGGCAGGGAGTCCAGGGTGTAACAGCCGCACTCGGCCGGGATTGCTGTGGTTACAGTGCGTTGACTGATGCATTGTTCAGAGTTGCCGTGAAGACGTGACTCCCCTTCCCCCCTTACCTCCTTTTTCGTCTCTTGCCGTCACCTAGAAGTTATAAGGGCTTATGGACGCGCGGATAGAGGCGTGACGCTCAGACGAGGCCCCACTCAGGGGCTTGCATTCTAGTGGGAGCTCACAGCCTGGTCACTGCTCTAAGGACGTGAAACGGGCCTGGAGAGTGGCTGCTGGAGGGGCCAGTCTAGACAGAGTGGCCAGAGCAGGCCTCTTGAGGCACAGGGTGTCCGGCTGAGCCACATAACTTTATAGTGTTATAACCAGGTGCTGGAGCTTTATCAGTAAGGACCAGGTAACAGGACTGTATTTGTTTTAGGAGGTCAGGCTACCAGAAGAATAGATTAAAGGCACTTACGTGGTGACTGACTATTGGAAAGTCATCTTTCGTGGCAGGTCACCAAAAGCAGCTTGGAAGAGCATCTTGGTTCATCTGGGTGTGATGCATTGTGGAGGGGGGCTGATTGCTCCCCATTTCCCAAAGCTCTGGAGTCTCCCCTATCCCACCCCCACTTATAGGGATCTCAGTGTTCCCTGTTGGTTTGACATTTCGGCTCCCCATGCCAGGGGCCAAGTGTTTAGGACAAGTTTATTGTCTTGTTTGCAAAGTGTTCTCTAGGCCAGGATGGACTCTTTTTCTTCTGAATGGTTCTGTTTATGGCTTGGTTTCCTAACATTCCTGTGAAAAGAAGCCATTTGTGATTTCCCCAAGGTTTTATGATCACAGGATATGGAAAAGTTGAGGTTATACCACCGAGACGTTGCCCTGAGGGAATGGGAAAGGCAGAATTGGCTGTGACTTTCTTGATGAGCACCTGGAGCTAAGGAGGTTGGATCCTTTTCCTCCCTTCTAGGACTGCAGGTAGCAGTGGCTAGAGCTTTGAGATCAGCCAGATAAGTGATTAGTTTTAACTTCAGCCTTTGGAGAAAGAAACTTTCTTTTTTTAAGAGACAGAGTCTCACTTCATTGCTCTCGGTAGAGTGCCATGGCATTACAGCTCACAGCAACCTCCAGCTCTTGAACTTAGGTGATTCTCTTGCCTCAGCCTCCCGAGCAGCTGGGACTACAGGCACCTGCCACAACATCCGGCTATTTTTTTTTTTTTGAGACAGACTCTCACTCTGTCACCCTTGGTAGAGTGCTGTGATGCCATAGCTCACAGCAACCTCAAACTCTTGGGCTCAAGCGATCCTCTTGCCTCAGCCTCCCAAGTAACTGGAACTACAGGTGCCTGCCATGAATCCCAGCTAATTTTTTTTATTTTTAGTAGAGACAGGTCTCACTGTTGCCCAGGCTGTTCTCAAACTCCTGAGCTCAGGCGATCCACCCACCTGCCTCCCAGAGTGCTGGGATTACAGGCATGAGCCATTGCCCCTGCTCATTCGTTTGTTTTTTTGTTTTCGTCTCTCTGAGACAAGAGGAGGAAGGACTGGGATCATGCCCGGCCTCTTTCATGGTTTAATTTGGATTGCATTTGTGAAAATTTGGTTTTAAAATGAGGATTTTGGATTTTCTTCCTCTCTTTTTTTTTTTTTGTTTTTGAATTTTCTTTTTTAACATTATGTCTGTATATATCTTCTGATGTGTTTTATTTATTCTGATGACTTAAAAATTAAAAAAAATAAACTACAGTTGTAGGATTTAAATGTATTGTAAGATCTCTGTCTACAGCCATACCACCCTGAGCGAGCTTGATCTCGTCTGAATGTGAGATCTTTGCCACCTCCTCCCAGAAGGGTTTCAGGGGGTGGACTGCAATGTTTTGTCACCCAGCTTTTGTCTAGAGAAATGATAAAGGGTTTAAGTTCAAGATACAGGTCTAGAGAAGCTCTTAAATCTGTGCCGTCTCTGAGCAACAGTCTAACATCTCAAAGCCCAGGACTGTGTCCAGCCTGATGAACTCTCTGGGTCAGAGGACAGTACTGAAAAATAATTTTTTTCCTTTTGAAAAGTTTGGGGATGGCCTCAGGGCAAAAACTTAAAACCACTGGAAGTTTATCTTAATTATCCTTATGGGGCCTTTCTGGCCTTTTATTTTCCACTTGAGTGCTTCAGTCCCCGCCCCTGATTCCTTCACTCCCCCACCTCACAGAGAGGTGAGTTTCTGGGGCAGGACTGAGGCACTCAGTGGAAGATGGACGCTGTGGGCAAGCAGGTGGCGGAGTCCTAACACCACTGCCCCTTCCTTTGATTTCCTCTCCTGTACGATCCCCATTCTTGAAGGAGGGAGGGCCACCAGGCATTAGGAGAAGAGCAGCTTTCCAATTCTCCCAAAGTGCTTTCTATCTGGAAAATTAACCTTCTTTTAAAGAAATTTCTCTTCTGATGGCTGTGAGGCACTTCTATCTGAGGTCACGTGTGCCCCACCACGTACAGGCCAGCCTCGTCCCTGTCATTTCTCTGGCCTGCTGCTCTGACCTGCCTTGTGGTTATTCTTGATGTGTGGTATTTTCCAGCACCTGCCACAGAAGGCTTGCTTTGGGATTCTTTTCTAATCTGTTCTCTAGCCAGTGGTTCTTAAACTCAGTGTACATCAGAATCAACTGGGAAATTGGTGCAGCTAGAGGTGCAGACCATGTTTAAGAACTTCAGTGAGAAGAAGCCCTTATTTTTTTAATAAGTGATTCTGTGTGATTCTGATAACGACCAAATGTGGGAACCTCTGCTTTCTAGATCTTTGCTACTCAAATAGGGGTCCGTGGACTCCCACCACTGATATCCCCTGGGCTCTCCTTAGGAATAAGTGCAGAGTCTCAAGTCTCACCTGAGCGGATCAGAAGGCCACCTTGGCACAAGTTCCCAGGTGATTTAGACGCGTGCTCCTGTTTGGGACACTGGAGCAGTGGTTCTCAGCTCCGGTGGCACATTGGAGCCCCCTCCCCCACGGGGAGATTTAGAAACAGTTGTGCCTGGTTCCTCTGGAGAGATTCTGATGTGATTGAATGGGGGTGGGGAGTGGAAGGAGGAAGGGATTGACTGGGCATTCAGATTGTTTTTAAAGCTCCCCAGTTGAAAACAGACCTTCCCAACTGGCCTGGCTGGGAAAGTGGTTTCCAGGTGAGTGTTGGCCCCTCAGCTCCCGGGAGGCTGGCAGGGCCTGACACGGCCTCGCGTGCTCCTCATAGGGGTCATCTTCCATCTAGTTACACTGTTTGTGAACTGCTGTGTTGAGTGGAAGGAGTTAAGATTTTAATTGAAAATGCATCAAATATAGATGTTAACTTGGACATGATAGCAGTGCCTGTAATAAATGATGGCTTTCCCACCTGGCAACATAGTCTTTCTCCATTATTTTCAAGTTTTTTGCATACATTTCTATAAGCTTTAATAGTGTTCTTATAAAGGTATGTATTTTTTATTAAGTTTGTTCTCAAAGTGTGTTTCTAAATAATATTTTAATGCAACAATGAGTGACCTTCCTTAAAGAAATAGGAAGTTTTGTGCTTCCTAAAGCCTCTGCTCTGGGCTTTGGGAATTTATTCTAAGTGCCCCTTTGATCTTTTGTTTGAAAAGTTTTCCCAACCTTTGCTGCCTGCTCTGTTCTTACAACGGTGTGGCATTCTTGATGGGTCTGCTTTGCTTTGGCGTTTACTGCTGGGGTCAGCCTTTCTCCTAATTTCATTTCCCAATTCTCACCCCAGAGATGCCCCATCTTGGTGGCAGTGGGCCTGCAGCCAGCTGGGCTGGGCAGGGTGGGTCACTAAATTAGGTACCAACTTTGATATTTCTACCAAGCTGGGTCTGCAAGTACTTCAGAGAACTCTTTTAGGGAACCATGGATGGATAGAAGGTGTTGGAGTCCTCACTCGTTACTGTGCTTTCCTTGGTCATTCTCATCTCCTGGCTGGATGGCCAGCTTTGTTTGTGGTTGGACCTGAGTTAAGAAATGCCACCATGCCCGTGCTCCCTCCCCCTGCTTGGCTCCCCCATTCTGGTCCAGTCAACCCCATGCAGCCAAAAAAGGACTTCACAGCAATTACTCAGTTCAGGTCTTCATTCTGCTGAGTGTGGCCTGTCCCATGCAGCCATACTTGAAATCTGCCGGTTGAGCGTGATTGCTTTGTAAGGGTTTCCATTCCTTCCCACCCAGTCCCAGCCCCTCTGCAGTACTGCCCAGAAGTGCTAGTCTAAAAAGCACGTCCTTGACTTTCCCTTGCTGAGACCTGTTAGTCGGGGTCTGTGCCAGCCACGTAGCGTGCTCGCCGCAGCTGCTGTGCCTCACCTCCAGGCCTCCGCCCTCTCTCTGGAATCTTTGATGCCACCTGGCACACTTTCCCTCTGAGAACCTGACTTGGATATTGCTCTTTGGGGAAATGTCCTGAATCACTCTAGTTCAAGTTCATTTCCTCTTCCTCTGTGCTCTCCCCTCCACTTAGACGTGCCTCTGTTATTTATTACTGTGTGCCATTATGTGTCGTGCTGGGGATACAGGAGGGAGTGACTCAGACAGGGCCACTGTCCCCATGGAGGGGAGGCAAGTAATCAGATGAATAGGAGGATGGAGTCAGGTGCTCAGAGGAAAACAAGACAGCAGCGTGACAGGGGCTGGGTAGCCTAGGGTAGAAGGAGGGGTCAGGACATCCTCTCTGAACAACCAGCTCTGCCAGCCACGGGAGCCTCTGCGAAATCAGCACCTGCGGATGTCTTAAGGCCAGAGAGGGTTCCTGCAGGCAGTGTGGCTGGAGCAGAGAGAAGGCAGGAGGAGGACGTGAGCTCAGAGGGTAGCCAAGGGTCTGAGGGGCACAGCCTGGAGGTCGAGGCAGCAAATTTGGGTTTTATCCATAAGGGCATTAGAAACTGTTGGCGGGGTGGAGGTGGGGAGTCATGTGCCACACGGGTGTGTAGGTGGCACCAAGCATTTCCCGTCATCAGAGGTTCATTCATGTGTGTCTGTTACACTCTGAGCCGTGTGCGGGCAGTGACTGTCCACATGGGGGAGATTTAACGCGTGAGTAATCTGCGCAGTGGTGGAATCATTACTACCATTTAAGTAACGTTCCCTGTTGAATGAAATTGCATCCCTCTGGTGCCAGGACACGGTTTATGAGTAAGGAAGTGTCGCAGACATTTTTAAAACCGAGTCAGGTGGTGTGTTGGGATGTGCCCCTCAGCATCTGCAGCAGTCCAGCAGAAGCGTCCAGTGGCATCTTCACGACTGGGAAGGAAAGAAAAGCCATGACCTTTAAAAAGTGAAAACCCTGAGTAGCACAGTGAAACCTCATGATGAGGCCAACAGTCATGCGACACACACCAGGGCTTTTGTTCTCACAAGGAGGCAGGTTCGAGTTTGCCCTCTGGCAAGGTGGGCGAGTGCCAGGGAGGAGGCAGTGGGCTGAGAAGTTGGGTTTTTCTTAGTTCAGTAAAAGGGCAGCTGTGTGTGTTTTAAATGTCACTGTCTATATTTCTGTGGTCGGAAACTACGGACTACCTGAGACCTGCTGTTTTCTCTTAACCGTGTAGTAACGTCACCTTACATGTCATGTGACTAACTTTTTTGGACCTGACTTCTGTTGTTGTTTTTCTGTTATAATTGTGAATGTCCAGCAAATCAGTTGGAAACCCTGGTCTTTATGTGTTTGTGTCCCATTAAATAAGCTGTATTTGGAAATCTCTCATGGTGAATTCATATTCAACGCAAGGAACACATCCAGCAGACGTAAGGGCAGGATGGCACCTGGTCCCAGGGGTGGTTTCTGACATTTCTTTCTTTTTGTTGGCTTAAAAATTACCCTACAGGTAGTAACAGGGTTTGAAACATGGCATACCAAGTACATCTGGACGTGTGTAAAGATGAGAATGTTTTTTCCTGCAGGGACTTCAGCAACACAGAAACTCTGTGCAGTGAACAGAAGTATTACTGTGAGACGTGCTGCAGCAAGCAGGAGGCCCAGAAACGGTGCGCGGGCCGCGGGGCGGGAGGAGGCCAGGCCTGTGTGTCTTAAGCTCTCAGCTACCGGGCTCCACGGGGCTCCTAGCCAGGGAGCTTTGGGCGAGTTGGTTACCTGCCACACCAGTAAAACCGGGCTAAGAACACAGCCTGGCAGGGTTGCCCATTTGTCCAGTTGTGTGCTCATCCATTTGTTCATTCAACAAGTATTTATTGAGTGCTGCTATGTGCCAGATACAATGCCAGGTAAACAGGTGGTGATCAAATACAATCACTCTCTTCTGAGCATTAAAGGCAAATTGTTTAGAGTACCTAGCATGCTCCATCATGCCCAGTGGATGCCCAGTATTGTTGTGGTTTGTGTTAAATGTTGATATATCTCATTGAGAGACAGGTTTAAAAAATCTATTATGTAACAAGGAATCGTGAAGAAAATAATAACACATCAGTTACAAGGACAGATGATAAGAATGCTACTGCTTTCCGAATCGATATAGGACCCAAGGTTCTCCATCTCACCAGCACCACCTGTCATAGCTCTGGGACAATCTGAGACAGCCAGTCATTCCTTATTATCTGCCCCAAGAAACATGTCACTTTAATCCCCTGGATCCTTACTGTGAGCTCAGTACAAGCGTGTGTAGTATCTTGCCAGTGAACTCTGAAGTATTCATGGCAGCCTTCAGATGCTCAGCACTGCCATTTAGAACCCTCAGGGGTCCAGACCTGAGGCCAGTGGGATAATTTCTCTGCCCAGACATGGGCATCTTTTCTTGCAGCATCAAAACTTCCAAACGGCTAGTCATTGCAGCAGGCGGGAGCGGAGGTGGTAGCTTTTGTTAGTGGGCAGATGTCTGCTCCGCATCCTTACAACCTCGGTCTGCCTACGGCCAGCCCTGGTGTTTCATTGTGACATTAAAATATTTTCTTTTCACCCCTGGATGTTTTATGCATTAAAACGTCATCTATTCCTATAAAATGTGGGACTAGCCATAATTCTGTCTACTGATTTTTTTATTTTGCTTCTTTTCTTTTCTTTTCTTTTTTTTTTTTTTTTGAGACAGAGCCTCAAGCTGTCCCCCTGGGTAGAGTGCTGTGGCATCACAGCTCACAGCAACCTCCAATTCCTAGGCTCAAGCGAGTCTCCTGTCTCAACCTCCCAAGTAGCCGGGACCACAGGCACCCGCCACAATGCCCAGCTATTTTTGGTTGCAGCCATTGTTGTTTGGCGGGCCTGGGCTGGATTTGAACCCGCCACCTTAGGTGTATGTGGCTGGCGCCTTAGCCACTTGAGCCACAGGCACCGAGCCATATTTTGCTTATTTTCATGAATAGGGTTTTGTCTTAATAGATTCCTCAATGTTCTCTTAAAATTTGTCCATCTCAATGTGTTTTGAAAATATTCACAAACTTTGTACTATTTACACTTACTCAGTACATTCATATTATAGAATAGGGGCTGGAAGGTAAGTGGGAGGCCCTTCATTCCAGACATATTCTCTACACAAACCATCACCTTTGTCACTTTTTACTGAGGAGTGTTAATGATCGTCTAGTGAAAAAAGCTTTCTGGGTTCATGAAAGTTTGGGAAACGGAGCATCAAACAGAACAGTTTTCTTCGCTGCAGGATTTCTCAATCCTTCAGACTGGTATTTTATGAGGGGATCTTCAAAATAGAAGGTGAAATTATCCAAACTCACTTAACCAAGGAAACCTCACACCTGTAAACATCTCCGGTGTTTTTAAGAGCCCAGTTTGGGACGTGGAGCCCTAAGCCAGCCCCTGTGTCTTATAAATGAGGAGGCTGAGAGGCAGAGAAGTGAGCTGGGCTCACTTGGAGTGCGAGTGAGCCGGGCACTCTTGGCATCCTGGTGCCTGGGAGGGCATCAGAAGCGTCCTCCGGCCAGGCCTCCAGGCTTGAAGTCCAGTTTGTGCCCTCTGCCTCCTTGTCCTCTTCCCAGCTCCCCATTCTCAGAAGCCCTCAGCCCTCTGATTGTCCCACCACCGCTCCTCTCTGGGAGGGGGAGGTGGTGACAGCCTGTTTTGACTGTGCACAAACTCTGGACGTCTCCTTTGACCAGACAGAGACACACCGTTGCCCTTTTCTCTCTGGCTGTAAGCCAGGGGCGTGAGGGAAGTCAGGTGTGTAAGGAAGCGCACTTGCATCCCTGCAAAGCTGTGTGGTATTCGCTGGCTTGAGGTGTGTTAAGAGTCCCTCTTGTTCTCCATTCGTGCAAGGGACAGCGGGTTCATTCCCCTAATGGATGTTGGGGTACATCTGATGTTCTGTTTCATGGTTTCTTAGGATGAGAGTAAAAAAGCTGCCCATGATTTTGGCCCTGCACCTAAAGCGGTTCAAGTACATGGAGCAGCTGCACAGGTACACCAAGCTGTCTTACCGTGTGGTCTTCCCTCTGGAACTCCGGCTCTTCAACACCTCCAGCGATGCGGTGAATCTGGACCGCATGTATGACCTGGTTGCTGTGGTTGTTCACTGTGGCAGGTAAAGGCAGGCCTGGAAGCGGGTGCGCAGGACGGGTGTGAGGGTTGGCCTTTTGCTGAAGTGGACCCTGCTGCCCCTTCCTGGGTTGTGACGTTTAGTACGTTGGAAATCCCTTCCAAACCTTTTTTTGTTTCTTTTTCTTTTGAGATAAAATCTTACTCTGTTGCCCTGAGTTTGGGTGCTGTGGCATGATCATAGCTCACAGAAAGCTCAAACTCTTGGGCTCTAGCAGTCCTCCTGCCTCAGCCTCTCTAATTAGTGGGTACTGCAGGCACTTAACCACAACGCCTGGCTAGTTTTCCAATTTTTAGTAGAGACAAGGTCTCGCTCTTGCTCAGGCTCGTCTCCCAACTCCTGAGCTCAAGCAATCCACCCATTTGGCCTCCCAGAGTGCTAGGATTACAGGCATGAGCCACCACGCCTGGCCCTAAACTCTTACTGATCATCTCAAAATGCACATAAACCTACCAGTAGGCATACATAAAATCAATAGCATTCCAGCAATGATGATCTCTCAGTTCAGTCATGAAGGAGATAATCAATATCCATTGGATAGAAATGATGTTCTTGGGGAATTTGAAATAAATGCTTATACTGTGATTTTCATTTTTAAAAAGCCAGCTTGCTTATTTATATAGTATGATCTCAAATCAAATGTAGTTTAAAACTATGAATAAAGACTGGAAGCAATAGATCACATTTAATAATTTTGTGGCATTTTGAGTGATTAAAATATATTCTCAAATATTCTTTGTTATTTTTGGTCTTTCCCCAGCTTTCCATAAAAAGCATATATTCATGCCTACTTTCCATCTCCGGAGAAGGCTTCTAGACATGGAAAGGCAGTATGTTGCTGGAAGTCTTTGGAATAGGCAGTTTTTATTCCATAATTTCATAAAAACATGGAAAAGTATATTGAAAATGTATCTCTTTGTTTTCCTTTGCTCATTGGGGTGGATTTAGGCACTTTGCCAGCACAAGCACAGCTCTCCTCTGCCCTGGTAGGTTTTAGATCAGGGCATGGTGGACCTCACACCTTTTTCTCACCATTACCTAAGGAATACTGTTACCATACAGAGGAATGGGTAGATTTATTTTTCACTCAGTACTGGTGTGGATAATATCAGAAACTCCAACTTCACATCTGAAAATCATCCCGTTTTGTCCTGTGTTATTGACTTTAAGTCACTGGATATTTTCTTAAATTCTCAGTAAGTTATATTCACTGGCTTGTTTACACCAGCTTCATGTTCTCCCTAAAGAATAGTCCTAACACAGGGTTCCAGTGATCTGGAGCCCAGCCGTGAACACTGGGTGAGGTGCACAGTGGGGCAGGGTTGGAGGAGGTCTTGAGCCAGGCAGATCCTGGTACCTGCTGAGGTGGTGGCAGAGGTGTGGACAGCAGGGTGTGCCAGGGAAGCTAGGCGAGGGGGAAACAGAAGCACTTGGTGCACAGGGGACACAGGACTTGGAGTGATGGATCTCTGTAGGTGCCTGATTCTCATTCTTGGAAGGACCAGCAGAGACCCACGTAGGGGTAATGGGGGACCAGCAAAAGGCCAGGTGATGAAATACATAAACAGTGAGAGGCCCTGGAGGCAAAGGTGAGCTGGTGCCAAGTGGCACACACCACTGGCTAGAACTTTGCAGTGGCCTCTCCCAGAGGTGGGGTTGTTCTCCTATGTGGGGCAGGGCTGGCGTGTGTGTGGGGAGTGGCTAGGTTGGGTCGCATCCAGGTGGCCCTCAAAAGCTTTGAGGTTAAGAAGTTGAGCCGGTCTTCCCTTCCATGCCAGGACCTCCTGGGCCGTAGTTGCAGCAGGCACCCAGGGTCATGCATTGATTTCTGCTACAAGTTTGTTTTGTTTTTGTAGGTTTTGTTATTGGTTTTTTTTTTTGGAGATAGGGTCTTGCTCTGTTGCCTGGGCCAGTAGGGTGCAGTGGCATCATCATAGCTCACTGCAACCTCCAATTCCTGTGCTCAAGTGATCCTCCTGCCTCAGCCTCCTGAGTAGCTGGGACTATAGGAGCACACCACCATGCCCAGCTAGTTTTTCTATTTTTTAATGTTAGGGTCTCCCTCTTGCTCTGGCTAGTCTTGAATTTCTGGCTTCAAGCAGGCAATCCTCTTCCCTCAGCCTCCCTAAGTGGCAATTTTTTTTTTTAAGTCTTGTTTCCTGGGGCCCATGCCAGGATCTGCAGATATGGTAGAGAAAAGACATCCAGCCCAGGGGCCCTGCCCTCATGAAGCTTAACATCTGTTGGGAAAGATTGGTGACAAACAAGTGAACAAGCCCGACTGCCACCTCCATAAACAAAACACTGAAAGATAATTTAAGATTTCTGACTCGTGCTAAAGAGGAATAAATAGGGAGATGAGAGAGTATGGGCGATACCTACAGGTAAGGTGGTCAGTGAAGGTTTATCTGGGGCGGTGACCTTTGATCTGAGGCCTAAATGCACTTTGGAATGGGCCCAAAATGCAAGCGCTGGGGCAGGATCATTTCAGCTGCATTACAGCAAGTGCTGAGGCCCAGGATGTGAAGGGTGGCAGGGGCGAGGAGCCCAGCGAGCTCTGGGGGGGGGGGGGGGGCGGGGGGGGGGGGGGTGTGAAGAGACAGGGAAAGAGCAGCTGAAGGTGGGGAGTGGCAGGAACAGATCATGTGCATCATCTTGTGTTTAAAGGAGCCAATCTAAGGGGAAAATTCAGCTTTTAAATGGTAACAGTGCATTAAGAAACAACTATTGTACAAATCTAGTGTAACTCCACAGCCGCAGCATATAGCATAGTACGTACCTTTATATGTTACCACATTTATGCATTTGGGTTTGTAAACATCTTTCTGAAAACGTAGATCGTTACTGAGACTCCCCCTATCACCTTCCCAGCTCGCTCACAGCCCGGTGTGAAATCTTGGCAGTAACGTATGTGAGGGCTGCCTCTTGTACCCTCCTCTGCTCACTCAGCTCGGGCTGTTTTGTCCCCTTGCCGTTCTGTCCCTAGCCGTCTGGACTTGCTATTCTTTGATCCTGAAACTTCCATCCCAGAGTCCCATGGCTTCCCCACTTCCCAATTTCCTTCAGGGAAGTTTCCTTCTGCTCAGATCTCAGAGAGGCCTCCCTTCACCTCTGTCCACCATTAAC